TAGATGCTATATCAAGAATCAAGTCGGAATATTGGTATTAGAATAGTGGAACATTAATAAACATTATATTAACATATTATATATTTTATCATTTTATTATTTTATATTATTTTCTATTTTATATTTCATCATTATTTTATATTTTTTATTTTTTATTTTATATTGTAACTTAATTTTCTTGCGGACATGATGACTTGGTGGATGATCATGACGGTAATGCACAGATCTGGTTGGGGTGCATTACACTTTTAACATTTTATATTTTATCATTATCTTATATTATATATTTTATTTTATCATTATTTATTCTAACCTTTTTAATAATAGAAAATTTTATTGAACAATTCTTTCATATATAGATCTTGTGAACAACTTTATTGGGATTCAAAATATTGTTCTCAAGGAACATATGTGAAGGATTGTTGAAGACAAAATGGATTTAAATTTATATTACAACTTAGTAAAATATTTATCAGATTTAATTTATCCAGAATCATCCACAGATGAAGAACAAAAGAAAATCAGAAGTCAAGCAAAATATTTTATAGTGAGAGAAGGAATTCTGTATAAGAAAAACAAGAAGAACCCTCAAAGACCCCTTTGGGTGGTGAAATCAAATGAGGTTGAAATTATTTACACAACTTACATGCCGATTCGTTGGCGGGACACTTTGGGATTGAAGCAACATATCATAGGATTGCTGAGAGATATTATTGGAATCAAATGTATAGTGATATAAGGGAATATGTTCGGACTTGTGATGCATGTCAACGTAGGGGGGGACCTACTAAGCATGAATATTTACATCCTATTAAAGTCGGACAACCCTTTGAGAGATTAGGAATGGATATTGTTGGACCTTTACCTGAGACAAGGAAAGGAAACAAGTATATGGTTGTGGCGACTGAGTATTTGACTAAGTGGCCAGAAGCTAGGGCAATTCCTGACGCCAAAGCTGCTTCGGTGGTGCAATTCTTTTATGAAGATATTATAAGTCGTCATGGTTGTCCTAAGATATTGTTGACAGACCAGGGAACCCATTTTGTTAACCAAATGTTGGATGAACTATGCAGAGCAGGGTTGGCATGATGGACATATGGACTGATGGACATTGGTCAAATGCTCACTTGGTCTATTGGTCTATTTAGAATTTCCAATGGACCTTCATCTGTCCATTTATTTTATTGGCTATCCAGGGGTGTGATGCAATGGACCACCAATGGACCACCAATAGATCAATGGACTTCCTGATCCATTGATGGTCTATTGAAAATTTCCTAATATGGATATATTATTACACAAATAGACCACAAAATGACCAATCCATTGGTCTATTGGTGGTCTATTGGTGGTCCATTGATTTGATTGATTTGTTTTCATCTTGTGTAAATATCTTCATCTTTTGTGTAAGTATTTCATCAAAAAAAATTTTCCCTGAAACAACTCTGTTAGCAAAAGGTTTATATTACTTTTGTTTTTATTAATTGAAAGAAATAAATTATAAAGAATTACATTATAAAAAAAAGAATTTTTCAGTATAATCACTATTTCAAAAAAAAGAACTTTTTCACAAAGAGTAAATGTTATAATTATCACCATTCAAAAAAAAAGGAACTTTTTCACAAATAATAATATTATAATTATAATCATAATCATCAATTCAAAAAAAAGAACTTTTCCATGAAGAATAAATATAATTATAAAAAAGAACTTTTTCACAAAGAATAAATATTATCATTATAATAATAACCATCAATTCAAAAAAAAAAAAAAAAAACTTTTTCATGCAGAATAATCAATTCAAAGAAAAAGAACTTTTTCACGAGGAATAAATATTAAAATTAATAATAACCATCAATTCAAAAAAAAAAGACTTTTTCACGAAAATAAATAATAATAATCATCAATTCAAAAAAAAAGAACTTTTTCACAAAGAATAAATATTATAACAATAATCATCAATTCAAATTTTTCATGAAGAATAACATTTTAATTATTATCCCTTAAACGAAATTGCGTGCCGATCAGCACGCAATTTACAATTCAAAGTTTTTGTCACAAATAAAAGTTTTTCAATTTGATTCTGAGCATAGCATGTACTTAATGAAAAATGTTTCTGGAAACCCATTCTTATTCATCGGCACAATTTGACTCATTTATGGAAAATGTATTCCGTAAATTTTCCGAAAACTCCAAAATTCCGAAATTCCGAAATTCAACACAAAATCTTTTTTTAAATGAAAAAACTTGTCCCAAATTTCCTATAAATTTGCAAAAGTATGAGGCGCCTTCAGATAAGTAATAATTTAATTTTTTTAACCATTTTTTGAAAATAATCACTTTTGAAAATAGTCAAATATTCAACAAAATTATCCAATTTTATTTCAAATTTTCATAAAGAAACTAAAATGAATCCGATTGAAACCCAAGAACAAACTATGGATATTTCCGAAGATAATGAACCAATTTTTGAAGATTATGATGATGATACTAGTTATTACATTGCTAATATGACAAGAAGACTAGGTGGAGTTTACAACGAATTAAATGATAATGAATTAATTGAAAGTTCTAGTGATTCAGAAGTAAACAATGAAGAAGAAGATGAGGATGGCGAGGATGGCGAAGATGAAATAATGGAAGGCTC